TAAATTATAAATATTAAAGTTAATGTATTAGTTTATATACTAAAATAAAAATAAAATGTACCCAATGCGCTGTGACTCCCATAAATGATTTGTAGTTTATTGACCAAATATAAGCTGTTGTAAATATACTAGGCCTTGAATCAGATTCAAAAACATTTTTTAATTTTTCACAAATAAATGTGTAGTTTCCTAGAACGTGACAGCTTAATGTTCTTCCCAAAAATATTTTTAAAGTACCATCAATATCTATTAAGTCATTAGAAAGAGACATTAAGTTATGCGTTATAGGTTTAATACGTAATTTCTCGTATGGCGTTTAGTATTATATACTATAATATACAATATATTAAATATGCATTTTTATTTTTAATAATTATAATAAAAAATAGTTTTATATATTAGTATAAAAAAATAATAAATAATGAAACGAAACGGTCATTACACTAATTTGGACTAGTACACGTAACGTCGTAACAGTAATATGATATATGTAATTAATGAGGTGATTAAATATTTTACCAAATAAATATGCAATAGAGTTATGTTATTATTGTTTATCAGTATCAGTCACAATATTAGTCTTATGAAAATTTGTATGTTTACAAATACAATATGTCAATACTCAATATAATAACCGTTAATCATCTTTATACAATGTTCGTCTTCAACCGTTGATAATAGCTTCATGCTACACACAACATAATTTATAATATTTGTATCAAACGTTTTTTGTTTGGACTCGTTATTTTGATGATCGTTTAAATACAAATTTAATTTCTGTTGTTTATGTGTGTTTGAGTTTGAATCATTTAATTTTCCTTTTGTACCACTATGTTCGTTAACAGTATGTTTAATATAATTCTCAAATTCTTCTAGAACATTACTGTGAATTCTCTGAAATTTAAAACAACATTAAAATAATTAATTAATAAATAATAAATAACAAATAATAATAATTAATAAATTTACCTTAATATGAATACGAAAATTTGAAATGGATCTTAATGTGCCGCTATATTCTTTTTGTCATCTTTGCAGAAAACATATTCTGCTTTGAGGTTTTCATTTTCCATCTCTGGTAATTTTTTTATTTAGAAATATTTTCCATCCAACATGAGAGGAATATACAAATCATTTTTCATTTCAGACATACTAATATATTACATACAATCTGAGTCAGTATAGTAAAGGCAAACATTCGTCACATAGTGACTCACAGAACATCTGTGTAGCCGGCAGTGCTTGTGTAAAAATAGTATCTATTAATTTTATCGTGTTTATTACCTACTTTATCGCGAAAGGTACACTATAACGTAGTAACTATTAGGTACACTATTATACAAAATTACAGATATCTAATAAGGTACAGACATAAAGTCCAATTCAATGTGCCTGTGTCACAGATATAATATATATATACACAATATACATCACATATATAACTATATTTTATGATTTATCAGTACTGGGTTGAAAAATTATTTCCAACAACCTATAATATTAAATAAAAATATTAATTTTTTGATTATTTATTATTATTATTATTAATTATTACTTTGATAATAAAATCAGAATTGTATCTTGTATCACATCATAAATTATTTTATGAAATACTATAATATAATACTATTATAGATACATTGACTAAAAATGTATCGCGATACAAGTTATTTGATACTTCATATAATTGTATCGAGATACAAGATACAAGATGCAATTGTATTTAAGATACTGCCCAACCCTGTAATAGTGTGTAATTCAACTAAATGTTTTTATTTTATTTATTCTAAATTTATTTTTGCAACTGATTTAGCGATGGCTGTCGTCCGTTTGTTGAAATTTTTGAAGGTTACAATAAAGTTTTAACTACAGAACTGGAATATGAGCGATTGTCATCATATGATATTTCCCATGGAAAAGTAATTATTAATTTATCATGCATTGTATAGATTAAAAAAAATTTCTCTTATAGGTATCACTTGCCTTGAAATTATTACCTGCTGGAATTCGAAATGACATAACACTCATTGTATACCATTCTAGACAAGTTCTTGGACGAACAGTGCCCATTAAAATATTTCAACTAMAGTTTCATTCTGATTTTTTGATGTTTCCTGATGGTGAAGATATTGTTTTAGATTTTACTAAGTAAGTATAATGTTCTGACATAATTTTCATGATATGAAAATAAAAAATTTAAGCTTAATTATAAGTATAAAACATTTTATTTTAGGAGTGAATTAGATTTCTTAGCGAGTTCTGAACACTATCAGAGTAATATGTTTCATGTGAAAATTGAAATAGAACAACATAAAAATGGGATCTCGTTACAATGCAAAACAAGAGATAACAGTAAGAAACCTGATTTACTATTCTCAACTTCCATTGAGAATACTCAGTTCCATGATTTGTTTCCCCAGGGAAATAAAAAAATTAAGACATCACCAGTTGTTCAACCAAAAGTATAAAGCATTTCCACTATTCATGACAAGTATTTTAACTTTTATTCTTTGTTGTAGGAACCAGCAAATGTTCCTATTCGAGTACCACCACCAAGACCACATTTACCTCCAAAAACTCAAGTTCCATTAAATAAACCAAATGAAGGCCTATTATTAAATTTTTCATCAGTTTCATTAGAGGATGAACCAGTTCAGACATCAAAACCGGATAATTTATTTGATTTATTAGGACCTGAGTCTGAAAATACTGAATCTAAAGATTTATTTGGAGGATTTGTAAACGCTTCAAATACAAATAATGATATTTTATTTGATCCATTTGTTTCAAAAACAAATTCAAATGTAAGCACTAAATTTATATCATCAAATTAGAAATACATTTACATTTTTTTATAAATAGGGTGGCGATTTGTTAAATTTAAATGCTCCTAGCAAAAATAAAACAAATAATTCTTGGGTTAACCAATCAGTTCCACAGGACATAAAGATACCTAATTGTAAGTGATTGTAATCTTAAACAGTTTATAAGATTTTAAATACTTATCAATACTTTTTTTATGCATTGTAGCTGTGAATGGAAGAAATGTTTCAAATGGCAGTTTTACTTCTACAAAATCCAATGTTGATGATTTTGATTTTTTGAAAACTGATAATTGGATGAATTTTTCAAGCCATTCACAAACAAGTTATTTTATTCTGTCTTAAAAAATCTATTTTATATTTTAATATTTTGTAACTTTAGATAGCCCTACAAAGTCAGCTAGGACACCTGCTGAACCTAATTACAGCGGTATAAACATTGAATCAGAAACAACAAAAGCTCCTCCAAAATCTGGTGGGGATATTTTTGGAGATCTTTTAGGTAGCCAAGGGTACACATTCAGTTCAAAACTAAATCCTGGTCCAAAAACAATAAATGAAATGCGTCGAGAAGATTTGGTCAAGGAAATCGACCCAGAAAAACTAAAAGTAAACATTATTAAAATGTTAATTATTAATGCTTCTCATTATTACATTTTATTTTTTAAGGTTATGGAATGGGTTGAAGGAAAAAAAGGAAATATTAGAGCTTTACTCGGTACGCTACATACAGTGTTATGGGAAGGATCTGGGTGGAATTGCAATCTCAGTAATTTGGTAACCTATGCTGATGTAAAAAAAGCATATAGAAAAGCATGTCTTGCTGTTCATCCTGATAAGGTAAAACATTTGATTCAACCAAATATTAATGAATATAACAAAAATAAATATATTAAGGAGTTATTACATTTTAACTTATTATTTTAGCAAACCGGAACTTGTAATGAAAATATTGCAAAACTAATTTTTGTGGAACTGAACAATGCTTGGTCAGAATTTGATGCTAAATCAAGTTAGTGAAGATTTTTTTCTTTAAATAATCAACAAGAATAATTTTTATTCATGTCCAAATATTAGTATAATATTATGTAAAAAAAATTATTATTTATTTATTTTCCCATATTTCTGAAACTTTAATTTTTAACCAAACAAAACATTATTTTGTTTATTATTATATCATTGGACTATAATTTACCATTATAAAAAAACTGCCTGTTTCACCAATTACTTTTTTCTAGTCTTAAATTCAATAGAAAATATTTAATAATTCACTATATTCACAGAGAGGTTATCAGTATTTTGATAACATTTACATGACATTTTTTTAAGTACTTGTCTAAAAAATTGACTATGTGATTGTTTTGATTTGGTCGAAAACTGATTTTGCGTAAAAATTCCTGTTTTTCTGTCATTTTTTTTTTTTGTAAGTTTCATATTTAAATGTAATTAAATAATGAATTTTAAAACTCCAGTTTGTTATTTTTTTGTCGGCTTCCATTAGCATAATTTTACTATTGTAAAATGAATATTTTTGGAGTAGTTAAATTGCATTCCCTATTCAAATTAAAATACTGTGAGCATTTATGACGAAAAATTATATTCATATTATTGAGGCTCTTTTAAAATTTCATTATATCTTTATACAATACAATTTAATTTTACTTTTGTGAAGAAATTATGCATTAATAATCATTTGACCCTCGTTAATTATATATTATTATTAGATGTTTAATATTATTATTCATTATTTATTTTTCATAAATTATTTTACACAGAAGAATATATGTTGAAAATAATGTTATTATTGTCATTATATTATTTAATGTTTATGTTTCCTATTTAAATTTAAATTATAAATTACAGATGAAAAAATTCTATAGTATTATTATTTTAACACTGAATATATTAAATTATGTATTATTGTAAAGTAAATATATCACTATGTCAAGATGTTAAATTTTCTTAATGGTTTAAGTTTATTTTTTTTTTTAGTTCTACTACTTTTCCAATGATGAATAGTTCAACTATTGTGTTCATCCCTGTTAAATTACATATTAACAAATAAAAAAAACATTTATTTTGTTTTTATTAATTTCATATCTTCATTATATTTCATTATTAAATATTCTAAATAAAAATAAAATCACCATCCTAGCTTCATGAGACAGACCAGTGAAATATTAAATACAAAAACTTTTGAAATTTATTAATGAAAAAAATCAACATTACTAATAATTTATCCTAACCTGACATAGTGACATGAAACATGACGTATAAACTTAACAAAAAACCAGAAAATAAGCTTAAAATGTACAAAATCGTAAATAAACCATAAACATTAGTCCATACATATTAGTCCATACATATTAATTCATACTTCAGCGTAATTGTATTCTCTTTAATTATAAAACTGTAAAATTAAAATAATATAATATTAACAATTTCACTATCATAAGTTAGATTACAATTAAATCATTAAAGAAATTCATACCTACCTTATTATTTTATTTACAGTCAATTTGCACAATATGTGTTAGTACTTAAACTTAATAAAACATGATTTATTAAAATAACACCTACTGATAACACTAATAAAGGTGGTAATTTACTAGTTACATTTTGTTTTGAAGTTACACTTTAACTAGTAAGTTAGTTTTCTAATAACTAAATTGCTGGATCAGCAGATTCCCTCTTGAGTGTCTGGTCCTGTAGTCACATACGCCAGTATAGGTACATATCATATTACTCTAATACAACTACATGCTAAGCGTACATATATCACTGTTGTGGGTATGCAGAAATAATTTTTAACAACATTGTTTTAAAAAAAAAAATTATTGAGATATTATTGTAAATAACTATGTGACATCCCAAGTAATAATTTAAAAAAAAATTGCAACTAAATTTTTTCACCGAGTTAAGTTAATTATCTTCTATGTTAACTTCAAACATAAAGAGTTAAATATATTATTTGTTAACTTTTAATTTGTACATAGATTACCTAAACTAAACTTAAATTAGTTTATATCTTTATAATTTGTATGGCTTAAGGATTTGATAACTACTTATTGATTATTTCCTAAATCTGTGCTGTCTTAAACTCTCAACATATATTTTGTATTATTGTACTTAATATAACTATTTATTATGTGTAAGTAAATAATTATTTACAATTTACAATAGCTACTTAAGAACAATCATGACTTTAGTTTAGTAAAAACTGTATTATTTAAATTGTAACTACAACGTACAACTTATAGGCTATAAGGTATGCCTTTTAAACTCTATTATTACAATTTACAAATGGGAATATGCCGAATATGGTCGTAGACCGTAGGTAAGGTACTGAGATGCCTATTTTGATGTGTCGAAAATTTCATTTGTGCACTCGTTGGCGTAAAATCGGCCACAAGCCGTTTGACCGTTGTAGTTATCATGCCTTGCTCTAACTCCTAAACAGTTTTCCACATATTAGGTACAGCCTCAAACAATTAAGCCAGATGTTTATGTCCGCGATACTAAAGGCAAGTATGGAGTTCGTAAGGGGTGGGGGTAGTTTTTTATAGGTAGGTATGTGGATTCAAGCCTGTCGCCCAAGACCCAAGGTGGACATTTTAACGCCGTGCTCCTTTACCAATATTTATTTAATTTTACCGCCTTCGAATTTCTTTAAAATCGTATTCCACCATAAAAAAAATCATAACGATTGTTATGCATCGAGGTATGTCTAGATTATAAGATCAAAAATTAGATTTATTATTTTCCGATAAGTATCATCTGTTATATGCATAAGAAAATAGAATGGCATTGAATATAGCTGAAATCCAGAGAATGTTGAAATTTAAAAACTTTCCCGTTAGATACTCGTGGTAACGGGAAGTGCAGCAGGCTCTGTCACAAAAATCTTAAAATTATACAGGTCGGGTGTAGATCAAAAAAATATATATTATGCAGGTAAATTATGATTATTTTATTCCTACGGGGCAATCCATTATATTGTTAAGTCCACGTTATGGGTACCTATATACATATGGGTGGACATAATTCTAATGAAAAAAATTAAAAAATTTAATAGGTTCCTTTAAAGTATATCGCATTATACAATAAATTAATATAATCAATGAAACATGAATTAGTTCCACTTGTTCTTGATTCCTATTATGTACATATAGGTACCTATATATCAATGACGTGACCGAATTGAATCGCCGATAATGATGTACCCACGTCGCCTAGAACAAGCGGTATAGCGGCCTTACAAAGTTACGGCGGAACTGTCTGGCATATCTGTTCCAGTTGGCCGCGTAATTTCGGTTTCCGCCATCTTCTGACTCTTCCGTCACTGGAGCAGGCCCCAGCGAACCGAGCGCCGAGCCCAGTGAGCCTAACGGTGAGCCCAACGAGCCCAGCGGACCGTGACTGTTGTCATCGCCAAACATTTGCATGCATCCGCTGTGGTGTGACTGTTGCTGCTGATGGCCGCCGCCACCGCCGCCAGAACCCACGTTCACGTTGGTGCTCTGCAATACTACCGGAAGAAAGAAGCGACCGGAAGCCTCGGACGTGTCACGCCGCCGTCGGCCGTGCCCCAACAAACACTGTACCAACAGCTTTTTCTTGAGCTTCTTCAATTTGTGCTTTACGTGATGGGTGCGCGCCAACTCTTCCTCTCTTTCTGGCGCCGCCACGCTGTATCCGGCTCCGTAGTAAGAATAGTCGTTGCCGTACAGGGAAGGTTGCCTCTGATCATCAAACTCCACCATCGAGGCCATCGTACACGTGGCCACCAAAAATACCGTAAACAGACACTGTGAAAATGATTACTTTTATTATTATTTAAATTGATCGGTCTGATAAGAAAAAAAATCCGACTCGTATAAGGTTTGCTTTTCAAATGATTCGAATAATTTAATAGGTATGCGATGCGATACAACCTATATCATTAATAAATGCAACGAGTCTATGGCATAAATATATAAAGATCAATATCAAAATGGCGCGGCGTCTCATTTTTTTTTTTTTTTTTTTTGGGGGGGGGGCAAAATTAATTTAAAAACTAAATGAAGACTTTTTATACATTTAATGCGTATTGCTTACATTTTAAAAGTAAATTCATGTTTACTGAATTGGTGCGTTACAGATAATGCTTTCGGAAATAAATTTTAAGGGGAATCGTAAGTTCCTACACGAGAGTAACAGGTAGACAATTACATACGTTAATTCCTAAATATGTGATGTGTAAGTTCCTACACGAAAAAAAAAGGTTCGAATGTTAGTTCCTACACGGCGGTAGACAGATATCTATGTTAGTTTCTACGTAGTGTATAATATATTATACATATACACAATATATTATAAATTATCAATATACGTTTATAAAATACTATCATACATTTTAACCCTTTATTCTATATAAAATATAAGTATAATGTATTCTATATAAAATATAATAATAATTCATAATTGTAAGAACATAATAGTGTTATTACTTATTATACTACAATTATTGTTTTTAAAATTATCAAATATTATAAAGAATGCATTTCTTATAATGTTTTTTACAATTATAAATTATTATTAAATTTCAATTTATTAAATTGATAATATTTATTAGGTTAATTATTAAATATTATAAAGAATTATATATTATATAGAATAAACGGTTAAAATGTATGACAGTATAGATTGGTAACTTATAACATACGTACCTAGTGTAGGAACTTACACGTGTACCTTTTTTACGGTCAAAGGTGATTTTCTATCGTGTGTATAATGTTTTATTTCCAAAATTTGCCAATCATCGATCAAATTAAACGTTAAAGAGTTTGAAAACACAATATGTTGTGATCCTATTGAGTATTGACCACTCCTAGGTGGCTGGGTAGTGAAAAACACATTTGACTTTCAAAATATTGTTATTCAAAAAAAATCGACTGTTACAACAACCAAATCCTGATTAGTAGGTATTATTACTAAGCATACGCAGAATTTTAGTTTGGTTAGAGTTTTACATGAGTAAATAATTTAAATAATAATAAACAATTTTAATAAATTTGCTTATTAGTTTTTATATAATTAGTTATAATAAATTATGATTAATAATAAATAATTTAATTTATATCTATTAAAAATTACCAAAAATTGATCGACTTGTGTATTCAAATAGTGGTAAAAAAGATTTTTTGTAAAATTTCAGAGGGGAGGGGTCAGAACCCTAGAACCCTACCCATGAATACTCCAATGGTAGGTAGTTGGAAATGTATCCAATCAGTTCTATCTTATAAAAGCTATAAAAACAGTTTTCTCAAAGCTAAGATTAATTGGATTTACTTTTGATAAATCCAACTTGTTTTAAAAACTTAAATAAATGTAAAACAAATAATTAAGTAATTTAGGGAAAATCAGTTGATTTGTTATCATTTAATCGAAATCAAGTCACGATTAAATTGGCTACCTATTACAAATCTGAAACTTGTTGTTTTGATGTTCTAACATCTGGGGGGAGGGAGTTTATAATAAATAGCAATTAACATACATATGAACATAAAATTAAAATTAAAAGGCCAAGTTAGGAGATACTTTGAGGGGCATCAAGAATTTTAGTGGCAGCTCCAATTTACGTAAATAATACCTATTAATGTTCAACGCGTCAACAGTCATCAGTCATCACACATTCACACCAATCTGCAGTTACCTATATAATTGTATTTTGTTTTTTAAATTACCTATTTTTTATCGTTAGCTTCTAAATATGAGTTAATTTATTGATTTGATAAACTAAAACTCATAAATAAATTAATAGCTTTTACATATTTTGAACAAGAAGTATGTAACTGGTTATGGTATGGGAGGGGGGGGGGTGTAGTGGCCGTGTGGATTTTGGCGTCGGTTGCGAACTTGCAGCGACGCACACCGTCGCCTGTTTGAATCCCGGTCATGCGTGGCATGGCTTTCCGTACAGTTCACAATGTCTGGAAACAGAGGCTGCCGCCCCCCACACAGGTATGGCAAAAACCTACGGGTGCCCACTAGAAATTCTGCTAAAAGCACACACATACGTGAACCAAAAACTTACCCAAATTAAAATCCTACAGAACCTTCCCTACACCCAATGGCCAATGGCCTATGTTGCCGTGGGTTAACTAAAAAAAAAAATTATGATAACTGGTTAGTAGACGGTGGTTAATACCTAATGGATGTTGCATAATTTATTGGGACATATCTTAGGAGTTATGACGAAGAGTGACTACTTTTTAATGCTTATTTTTTATTTATTTGTTTAATTTTTTTTTAATATGTAAAATAATACGTTAAACGTAGATATACCTATTATATTATATTATATAACCTCATCTGAGTAAAAGTTTGAATTTTTTCCCGAGCGTGTGAATAGTGTATTCTAGTATTTTACCTCTTGTGTTTCATAATGATTACCAATGTTTTTTTTTTTTTTTATTGAGTTCGTCGTTTGGACGAAAACAAACAAAACAACAATATTAGTATAATATGTATAATATAGAGTAGAGACTAGAGAAGATACTCATCGTATAAAATTATTATTAAAAAATATAGCTACAATATTGCTCATAAATTAGAATTTTATCGTGTAAGTACACATATACCTCCTATGACATGTTTGTAATTTGCAGCATAACATTTTAAAATTACATATTATCGTATAATATTTCATTATGTATGCATATTATAAAATCATAAAGTGTAACGAATGATTTGTACCAATTAATTATTAATTACATATATATATATAACGTATATATAAATGGGTTACTGAAATCTTTGAGACACTCGTGTCATCATCCTGTAGCTTTCCATAATTTAATTTCCGATTTCAGGCAATATATTATTAATTTATTATAATAATAATTTTTATTATCATTATTATTATTATTGTTGTCAGTTGATACAGGTATTGTATATTCGGATTATACCACAAATGCATACATTTTACCACAAAAAGCTTATATTCCCCCGATTCACTGAGTCAATAAAATTGAATTATTTGTTGGTTTTGCATTTTTATCATAATAAGTGTACATACATAGCTATTAGTTGATCATACAATTATAATATCTAAATGCCTAAATTTTATATAAAATAGATAAACTGTACAGTATGTTAATACCTATGCATTGACGCATTGTACATGTAGGTATATAAACGAAGTTAATAGCTTCGAACAAAGTCTGAGTATGTAAGTAATACTCGTACCTACTAGTAATAGTCAATAAGTATTTGCACAACTGTTAAACGAACATACAATATATACTACACAACTACACATTACTATATATACATATTATGAATATTATTAACCATTATATTATATTTATATAGAATTGACCCAATAAGCGATAACACGTTTAGTCCATAGGGTCATATATTTGTCAATAAACTGCACATCTCGTTGTTTTTCTATCTCTTTCTCTTAACGCCTAACTCACTATTTATTTTATTGTTGTAAAATAATGATTAAATCTGAACAACTTATTATGATATAGGTCAGTCGCTGAAGTTGACTTGATTTACTTCTATATTTTGTATTACTATTATGGCGTTATACCTAATGTCGTACAAGTAGATATTTTCGCAGAAATTCAGAAAAAATTATGTTGGCTTTGGTTTTCTACGAACCTATATAATATAAATAATAATTATTACATACAATTTCTTCAATATATTAAGATACTCGTGATCTGTTGAGAAAGTCAATTGTCCCGTGATTCAGTCATCGCATAGGTATGAATCATACACAGACATAATTAAATATTAATAAAAACAATATGTCATATTATTACACTCGTAAAATTATACAATATTTACCGTGTTTCTCATCTTTGTGTGGCAGCTTCGCGATGAATCGATCCGTTATTAAAGGCGCGCCAGCTTTATGAAACAACAGTTTAATCGTGTGTGGAACAACAATAACTGCTGCAAGTATTTACGGGTTACGGCGGTCGAAAGATTTAAAGACGGGTTCGTAAACATTTTTTACGCGCGCCAAAGAAAAATCAAATTCGATTTTGGCGAACTTTCATACTCATAGCGATATTTTCCGGCGAATTATTTACTATTATTATATCGCGTCTGTTATTATAGACGATACCTATTCACAAACACATTGACAACTGCGCGGCAGCGTGGCACCAAGTCGACTCTTCGTTCCACGCGTTCTGCGGCTGTCTTTTAACGCTTTCAATGAGTCGTCGTCGCCATTGTTATGCAAGTCTGCCCCAATGGGTATATAGACATTAGACAATGTATAATACCTGTTCGGCCCACGCCATGTGGAGCGAAATACTTGACCCAGTGACTTCGGCGAATGCGTGACGTCTATTATGCGTATATGTGTGTATTCTCAGGTCTAATAATTTTGAATGTATACACGTGTGTACAATATTTTTATGTACAGCATTGCATGTCTGCATCGTATATTATAATGTACAGGGTGGTTCACCAACCATACTTACCAGTTACCCTAATTTATCTTTTGATAATAAATTTATTCAATTTGAATGAATGTGTCATAGACCATACATTTTAAAATTGTTGAGATTCTTTGGTATTATATAAAGACTGTTCTATGAATAAAACCTCCTTTTCTAATTTAAATTGATAAAAGAGAATAAGTTTTTGGAAAATTCGAATTAGTTTCTGAGATATTAAAAAACGTTTATAATAAAGATAAAAGCCCTTAATTTGCACGGTTTTATAAAAATACAAAATAGATTATGTAATATTGGATCCTAGTATTTATTATTCTCGAGCAATTTTTTTTATAAATTGATTATAATAATTTATAAATATATTAGATATTAAAATTATTTACATTTTAAAATCACCATAGCCACTAAATCTTCCAATTCTCATTTTCGTGGATGAACTTTCTGTATTCTGTCTAGTACAAAAAGTTACTCAAAAACGACTCGTTAAAATTTTTATTTTGATATAGTTATAATTTTACCAGAAAAATTATCCATTTAATAAATTACAGTAGAAAATTGAGTTTCTCATTTGAAAAAATAAGTTTGTATAACCACAGTTCTTATTTTAGAAAAAAAGTGTGATTTGTAGAAACACCTGGTAATATACCTACATATATATTAACATAATTTAGAATTTAGTTGATGTTGCGATTGTATTACCTAATAATTGTAGTGGGTAAAGTAATATTGTTGTTGTCTAGTCGGCGAATTGAAACAAAACATTAATTTCGACTCCTTATAATCATTTCAATCGTTGCAAATAGTTTGGATAGCAATATTTTATTATTAAATGGGTTAAAGCGGGTTTACCGCGGGCGTGTTTACGATGGCGCTTACTAAAGTCAGCTATCATTCGTGCGTGTTCTTTAACTCTTTGAGCAACACATCAGAATTTTCTATTGGGTATCAGGTGGGCATATAATGTGATTATTTAAATGGCGATTTGCTAATAATGGAAACAAATACCATGTTAAACACCCGCCGACACATAAAATGATTTCGTTCACGATAGTTTACTAATTACACGTTTTTCTACCTACTAATACATTTTACTGTGTTTAGAAGACGCTATAACTGTGCGAGATTTACATAATATGCGTCATGCGATATCAACCCACTCAACGCCGAATCGTCTTGCGTGCCCATCGGTCTGCGTCTTACAGCGATGAATGACCTAATAGTGATGACGGTGTGTAAATCGATTTCAGATTTTAATTGAATTTTGCAAATCAACGGGGTTCGTTGAACAACCATCATATCACAAACGAAACACCCTTAAGTACAACTGTGAAGACCGTTTTTTATTCATGGTTTTGAACTTATCCATTTTTATTACAATTATTCTTTTTATAATATAGACATTAGACAACATAAATATTATATATTAAGCTAGAATTATGTGTTAATGTAACTTCAGTTTACCTACAATACTAAATAGTTAAAATTATTTATACAAATATGAATATAGCAAAAAATGTGTAAACCATCATACAAATATAAATCATTTAATGTAAAAGCAGTTTGATTGTGGTTACCGTCATTCCAAATCAGAAGTCAGATTCACCTAAATTACCTGTGAAAAGAAAAAAGTCTTAATAAAAAAAAATAGTAAATTAATTGCAAAAAATCAAAGCGTCCCAAACGTTCCCGGTGACGAAGTATATATAATATAATTATAGTTATATAGTTTATATTATTAGTTTGAAAAGTCGTTCGAAAATTTAGTGTGGAACTTCTGATTAACCAACATCTACCGGGAATTTGGAATACTGTCTGCATGTAAAACATATAGCAACAACTGTATACAGCACACAAAAACTTCGAAAACAAAATACAAAAAAAAACTACACCTTTTGTTTCGTATATTATGACGGTAAATTATTTAGTTTATGTAATAGATTAAAACTAAATCTAAATATACATCCGTTAAATGTATATTATTTTGCTATTATATTCCAATGAAACAAAGACGTTCAAATATTTGATACTTTAGACCAACGACTGTGTATAAATATAATTAAATATTTACACATAAAAAAATGAAAACACGTATACGTTTTGTAACTGTATATTCCAAAAGGTGGAGTTATATAATAAAATAATAATAATAATGTTATTCCCAACTGTGAAGAAGTTAACGCAGCACAGAACTAAGAAGAAGGGATATGTTCAGGGAGCTTATAACATCTTACAAAGTCACGGACACATAATTGATGTCTGTGATTTGGACTACATTATAGAAAAATATACAAGTATATAACGTATAATATTATTCAATAGTATAATATATACATATAATTTCAGCGCACCTCAACCGACTCAACCTCGTTTATATGTATATTTGCACGTCGCCGCGGAGCACCCACATGAGTGGGGTGGTTTTTTGAGTGTACAGCATGCAGCAGCAGTCAGTGCTATGTATTTTGTTGTGTGTAAATAGTGTGCCAATATTTAGGTACTTATAGGTTCCTTGATTTTTTCACATGTGCGAGCAGTTATGAATGTATATTGCATATTGTACGTATTTTTGGTGAATGCAGTGCGCTGCACATGTGTGTAGATAAACGAGGTTGACGGTAAAAGTAATGATAAATGTGTATAGAGAGTATTCGCAAGACAGAGATAGAATGAGATTAACTGCAGAGAGAAAACAACAACCGTTCACAGACTCCAAACAACGCGTATACTATATAATACCTTAAAAAATCGTAAAAAAAAACCCAAACGAGAGAAATGAAAAGTGCTTGGGTAAGGGATGGTGACGGGGAAGAGACGAGTTTAAGATCCGTCTTCTCCGGCAGGAATTTTGGGACACTTGAACCTGGTGGTGATGGTGCCTGCAGCAGTAGTCGTCGGGGACTTGCAGGTCGCCACGGGACCGTCGCTGTTCTGAAGCCGTGTCGCGATGGTCTTAAACGCCTTAGACGGCAGTATGTCGTATCCAAAGTACGGGCAAGCGTACTCCCAGCTCTTGTAGTAACTGTCATACTCTGTCCGGGCCAAGTCCGATTCGTAAGTCCGACTTCTGCCTACCACGGACGGCGTGGACGGCGTGGTGGCCGCCGAAGAGTAACCGGAAGTACACGACTGCGGCGGCTTGTTTCTCATGTCCGAAATAACGTTGCTGGAATCTGCGCCGTCATCGTCGTAGGCGTCGTCGTCATCATCGCGCTGCAAAAAGTCGAAGAGTCGCGAGTGCGTGCACGTTCTTTGGTATTTCTTTGAACCGACGCTGACGCCTCCACTTCTACCACCACCGATCACGTCTTTGTCGAAAGATGGTCGACTCGTCATGTCTGCCGACGATGTAGTAGTAATGCCCGAATCGGCGTCGTCGTCTTCGCGATCCGTCGACTGCAGGTCACCGACCGCCTGGTCGTCCGGCGGACAAGCGGCCCCCGACGGCTTCTGCAGCAGACTCTCCGTCTGACAAACGACGGCCGATGGCTCTTCGTGATCCGAACACTCATTGACGTTGTCCGACGTAGACGTGTCGGCCGGACCTCCTGCACCGTCGTTGATTTGTTGCCAAAAGTCCACCGGCGAACTAGTCGACACCTGTTCTTCCTGTTCCATCGTCTCGATGACAACTTTCTTCAGTGGCAACGTCACCGTCACCGTAACTTCGCATTCACTCGTGTCGGTATCGCCATCGAACGGTGAGGAAACGTTCTCGTCGTTAGCGGGTTCTTCTTCGGCAATGGTATTCAACACGTGGCCGGCATACGCCGCGTTGATGGAGTCTGCAGCCGACGCGACACCGGTCTGTACCAATTGTTGTTGTTGATATTGATGGTGGTGTTGTTGTTTTTGTTGGTGCTGGTATTGTTGCTGATCTGTCACAGACGCAGAACCAGCGCAGTGTAAGTCGTGAAATTCCTTTAGATAATTGTAATGTTGCCAAAATTCGGGACATAGAAAAGGATAAGGGGTGTGCGATTGCAGGTTTAATAAGTCATTTTGTTGTTGTTCTTCTTCTTCTTCTACAAAAAAAAAAAAAAAAAAAATAACGGCCAAGCTTGCTAATCGCAATTCACTGTAGTACTATAGAACGTCGTCCTTGGTGCGAATTCCACAATTCTACTTTCTTTTTTTTTTTTTGCACAATTTACTATAACTATTGCAGACATTTGATGATCAACGCATAAACTACATTTCATTATTTAACGATGAATGTTAAATGTATGCTGTATGTATATTAAACTGTATAATGTCCATCGCAGCTCCGCCCACGAGCACACATAATATGAATTCGGGATTATGCAAATATCGTTAAAAAATATTACGTAAAAAATATTTTAATGACACAATACGGAAAATATAACATTGTAGTTAGACATAACTATACGATATACTATGGTCTATTGTTTTCGTTGAAGTTATAATAGTTTTTTGTTACTTAAGAAGATAATTAGTTAATTATTAGACAGCGTTAAATTTGAAAAGGGGTAACTGTGTATATTCTAGTTTAACTTAATCAAAAACACAAAAACAAAAACAAACATATAGTCAAAATTAAAATAAAAAATAAACTTTATAGACATAACTATGTAAGTATACTTTAATGCATTAGGACAAATACTATCCAAAATAAAAAACAATTAAATACTAAAACAAATTCATACAGCTAAAAAAAAATGTTTAAATAATATTTTTATCTTTCAGTAATAAAATTACTAATCTATTTTTACAACAAATGTTTTTAAAAAGGTTAATATATATTTTTATTTTAATAACAAACGCATTTAAAAGCAAATTAAAAAAAATTAATATGAACTTATAACTGAAAAGTTTTATTCAGTTCAATTAAGTATAAACCACAAGACTTAATTTTGGACGTTACACTAGATTCCTATACCTCATTAAATCTTTGTAAATACGCCAATATAGTTCTAAATTTAATTTTGTACGATTCCTCAGCATATTAAATAAAATATAACATAACTATAATAATATACAAAGTAATCACATAAAAATTGAAAAATGAATATAATTGTTAAAATATTAGATACATTATTAAAATATTCATATAATGAAAAATTTTAATTGAACTATATATTTTTGAGACAGAAAACCATTTATGCGTACACTAAAAATTAAAATATATTATAGTATATTATAGTTATTTTTCAGTGTTTGTATTACTTAACGAAGCATATGAATAGATAGTGTCAAATGTATATATATAAGACGTACGAAGTATTTTACATCTACGAGATTACATAATTATAACTCAATAATTATTATCAAATATTAACTCGGTGCATCGAATGAAATTAGTGTCACATAAAAACATTAAAAATGATACACAAATTAGTAATTAGTAATTACCAATATAAAGGTGTAAATGCTTTCATAATAACAAAAAATAAAAATAATACGATGAAACTGAAGAAAGAGCTATTAATTAAAAATTATATAAGAAAGCAATCGCTCCCATAAACGCCGCATAAGTTGGCAAATATAATTATAATTAATTATATCTCATAAATATATCACATGGAATTAAAATATTACTTGTATATAACATTTGTATCATATATTTGATCGCCTGATTTCATTAATACTATAAGTCTTAGTTATAAATATAAAATTTTGAACTATAAAATGTTACCGTTATTTTGGCCAGTCATAGCTTGTAATATTCTGAATGATCTGGATGGTATAGAGCCACCGGTATACTTATGCGGTTCTGAGACGACAGGTCTCTCTGACGGTGGTACATAAATTTTGGATTCTATAGGTTCTACTAGAAATTTATCCGTTAGATAGTATAATATTATGTTAACATAACTCGTTAAATGCATTTTTACCTGATACGTAATTGTTTATCGGTGCCGATTGTTTGTAGTTGCTGTTATCCATCGGTACTGCAAAATCAATAATCCAATATAAAATTTACGAAATCAATCAAAGAATGTACAAACTAAAGCGAAGCTCAAAGCATAGCAATATAATATACTAACGCATAGCCTAAATCTATCACGGCAATAATATTTCGTTAGCAGACAAATTGTTGACAATCACATATAAAGAGATTTGATTTAATATTTTTTTTTACCAGGTGCAGAGTTCGTTAATGTTTGCAACATTCGAAAACTTCTAGACGGAATCGACGCACCTTTGTAACGAGGGTCCGTTTCGTTGTGTAAAAATTTATCATCGTCAACTGATAAAATATATAATATACAAAAATAATTCCCTTAATTATTATATTGCTAACCGCTTAATTTTAAATACATACATTAAATTAAATAAATAAATAAAAAATTATTAGTTGAATGAGTAGGTACTGAGTAGGAACCTAAGTATATAATTTCATGTACTTTATTCTTTTTTATTAAGTCTGAAATTAAACCAATTCTAAAATGTGCCAAAAAAAAAAAAGCGAGCGTGTAGCAGAGTACCTATAATACCAGGTATATTACCACCACCGATTAATAACATAAATGTTTACCACTATTTTCCAAAACTTTGAATATCTTGGAAGGTATAGAGCCACCTCTATATCTTGGGTTTTCTGTGTCTAGATTATTAGCTATAACGATTAGATATTGAGATATTCTGCGATATTAATTACTTATTGGATTCCTAGATTAAGTTTTTTTAAGAATACAAACCTTGAGATTTAACTCTATTCATGAAAGATCGGTCGTCATCACTTAACTGCAACTTTCTGAGTTCAGATAAGGGTAATGATTGGCTGTTATAGGGCTGAGTACCATCATATAGCACGCCTGTAAAATAAAAAATGATTACTTGAAAATAATGAATAGTAGAAATTAAAAAAAAATTATGTTAAATGATAAAGATTGTATATTACTTGTGAACAAAAAAAAATTATGTTAAATGAAATATACTAGCTGATAAATAATATACGAGATGTGTTTATAAAACTCATTTAATATATTAGGTACCTAAATAATATTCTGCTTTATGATTTTATATAGTATATGATGTTATTATTTTAGAATGTATAGTTAAGTGTCTAAAGACAAATGTATTATACTATATTGAATGCAAGTATACGTAGTCATTTAAATGTAGAATCTATATTTTATAAAATGTTAATTATTTATAATAGGTATAAAGGTGTTTAATGAATGTACACATTTTGACATTTTGTTCAAAGCTTCAGTTTTTAAAATAATTTAGTTCTATATTAAAACACATTTATACACTGTGTTATGCATAGGTATACCTAATACTTTTTAATTGGGTACTTATAATTTATTAAAAGTACTTAAGTAAAAGGCATCGTTATATTATGTATGTAATAAAATGTCACTTCTAATGATAAAAAAACCTGTCTGTAGTATAGTAGGTTTCAAATCTAAGGAGTTCATTGTATTGGAAGAGTTAAATTTGAATTCAATGATAAATAATTTCATACGAAAAACTAATCTTAGCGGAAACGATGCGCCAGCACCCATTTCTAAGTAGTTTAAACATAAAAAAGATAATRCTATATTAGTAATTAGTAATTTATTTTCCACATATAGTACGGTACGTTGAACTATTTTTTGGCAAAAACATTGAATATATTAATTTGTATCATTAATTATATTCCATTATAATACTATAAATAGGTAAATTATTGTTATTAACTTAAATGTCATTACTGCGTGGTGCGTACCATATATAGAATATATATCAATGCTTAAAATTATTCCAAATATTTTTTAAATTCCATTGTGTATAATAATCATAACAATATATAAGATTTTCAGTTTTTACAACAGAGGCTTGAATATTTAATACAAGATTCCTCGTAAATAGTTCATATTGAAACCAAAAAATCTAAAAAATCTAATATATGCAATATGCACATTTTTTTCTTTAAAAAACATTTGACGTTCAAATTTGGTCAAAATTACATATTTAAACGAAGAATAGCGACGTTAGTTATTTTGTTGCAATTCAAAAACATTTTACGTTTAAGGACCTTGAAACATTTAGGTAAATTATTCACTTTACATTAAAAAATATTTGGATTAGACTTAAAATATTATTACCTATTTAGAAATTATAATATGAACCTATTCACCAGTGGCGTATTTAGGATTTTTCTGCCCTGGGTACACACGTTTTTATGCCCACTTCCTCTCACCGGTTTTTTATAGAGGCAATTTTTCTTACCTTAAAAAGCTTACAATACATCATATGATATAGTAATAGTATCATGTAGTTTAAAAATCTATCTAGTGCTTTAAAATGTTATATATCGTAGGTACTCTCAGTAGTATCCATGATAGCAAAATAATCTAAGCAAATTGTAAAATTGATTAATTTATTTTATTATCTATTTACGATTATTTTTTTTTTTACAAGTGCTTAAATCATTTTAAATTTGTTAAAAAAAAGCTTCCAGTTAAGTTTGCTGCACCCAAAAAAGTGCTGCCCGAGGCAATTGCCTCCTTGCCACCCTAAATACGCCACTGCTATTCACACTGTTTTATGATAAGGTGGTATTAACTAAAGGTTATTAACAATCTTGTATAATATAAAATAATATAAATATACACTCTTATAAATAATTAAATATTAACAACATTATAATAAATATAGGTAGTAAGCTAATTACTTTAATAGTAATATCATAAAACATATTTTGATGAAATATACTTGAAACTTGAAATAGGCTGAAGACCGTCTTCGCCCTGTCGTACTGTACTTATAGATACAATAATATTATATTTAATTAAATTTTAACACATCGATTATAATAGTGACCAACTCGACAACTACAGAGTAGCAGATCAGTAACCACTTGTCTAACTTTTTTTGACTTTTGACTTCTAAAGTACTAATTAGATACAATTTGTAATCAGGTAATCATCCATCATCCTAAAAGTTAAAGAATGAAGCATTTTTACTATCCCAAATAAAAAACACAAAAAAATACACATTCCAAAACCAATGCGTTCATAGTTCCGTTCAGAATCAAAAATAATAATCAAATCGTAACGAATAATTTTAATAATAATTTAGCTTCAGAGATAGTTTTAATTACTAAAAATAATATAATCACATATTATATCATAATTCAATTTAACATAGTCACCTTTTGGCTCAGTAATTTGTTGAAGCACTTTAAATGAACGTCCTTGTATCGGTTCAGAATCATACGAGTGGTTTATATTATTCTTCAACGGTTGTGTTGGTTTATTAATTTCAACTCGTACGGGTATAACTCGTTCTTCTGTTTTATCAACCTAAACAATTATTTATGACAGTTAAATTAAAAGTATATACGAAATAAATAACAATGAATGTTTATTAATATGCATTTTTTTTTAAACCAAGACATTTTTGATATTTGATTTCTTTTCTATAAAGCACATACCTAATATATTTTCAATTGTACTTGCATTTAAATTGAGCACGACGAATAATATGTTAAGGGTAGGTTCTTAAAAACAATTACCTGATCAACATATTCTTTTTTGTTTTGGGTCCATGGAGCTAGGGAGGGTTGAATTTGCGCAGCCTTTTGCATCCAAGGAGTAGGCGACTTATTCAGCAATGGTTGATGTTGAACTTGGGGCAACAGACATACTCTTTCCGAGGCAGAGCGCACGTTACAAACTGGTTTTTGTTCACAGTTTGGTTTCATCTCTTGTTGTTGCTGATAGTCTGGAGATTTTTGAGGTACTTCTTCCGGGCTAGGCGGAGTCTGGGCATTTCTTTCTAAGCGCCTTTGCATTCGAGGACTTCTAATCTCACTCAAATCTAATCCACCTGGAAGATAAGTAAATGGTTTTTTGTCTTTGGTAGCCATTGCATTTTGTATGGTTGATGGTATTTCTCTAGGTTCATTCAGCTACAAAAAAATCATTATCTTTGTTAATTGATATATTTATTAAGGTGTACAGGCAGGCGTAATCTGGGGGGGGAGGCAAGAGGGGGCAACTGTCACTCCATATATTTTATTGAAGGGGCAATAGTATCATTTTGCCCCCCTTTAAAAGTTATAATTTATAATTCAATTTCTATATTAACATAGAAAAATTAAACAGCATAATGGATTGTATAATCATTAATAATAATAGATTTATCGTTTTGACTTTTTGAGCGCCTCAGTTTATTATTTATTAATAGTATCATAAATCGAGCGCCTTCATATCGTAATATGAGGAATTGCAGAGAGATGACACTGATGACAGTGATGGCATGGCGAGTTATTACCACAATAGCACAATGCGAACTAAGATTATTATCGTGTTTATTTTTACCATTTTTAAGTGTAAAGGCCAATTTTATTGTACCAGTTATTAAGTGACTACAATCAAATTTGCATAAATAAGTATAATTTTTAATAATTTTGTCGAGTTTTATATTTTTTTATCAGTTTTATAATGTAAAATAAAAAAAAAATGAGTTGTAAGTTTTTTTTTATTTATTAATTTTTACTGACGAAATTTTAGTTTTATTACTAATTGCCCCCCCCTCCCCAGGATTGACTCCAAGTTACGCGCCCTTACGCCACTGTGTACAGGGTTGTATTATAATATGTATTAATAAAATAAATTGTATTTATAATAAATATCTACAATTTGAATATTATGTTTAATGCTTTATGAAGGTTTAAATTTTGTAATTATAAAATAACCAATTTTCTTTATGACTAATTATATAGTACAATAAAACTTTGAGTTCTTCGCTTTAATTTTCTTCCTATTAAACAGAATAATTGAGAATAATTATTAAAAGAAAAAGTATCAATGATTAAAAATTTTAAATAGTGATAATTTGAGTTATGAAATATGATTTATGAATATAGGTAGTTAAAAGTGGTTTGTAAATTCTTCATACACGTAAATTTATTATTGTTCTGACTTAAAAGTTGACCATATGGTTAAAACGTATTAAAAAGTGTTAACAATTGAATCATATATTATTATAATCATAAACGCGTTACACATAAATGCAATTAAAAGCATTTTATCCAAGTTTGAATGGCACTTTACACTCATGATTTGTCTATGCTATAAAATATAATGCTACAAACAATAGTTTGTTAAATGATACAAGATATAAATATACAATAAACAACCTATAAATAATTTTATTCTTACGTAAGCAGAGCACTTAATGATATTTTACTTTGAATTGAAATGACTGATGTTTATTTTAATTTTTAGCGTTTATAATTTTAAATTTACTACAATCTATAAATTTACTAATTTATTTTAATATTTAAATAGTTAACAGTTATTTTGAATTTAGCTTTTCACAAATTTTCAACAATTTGTTTTGATTATAACGATGGTATAAAAAGTATATAAGTACAAAAAAATATAAACAATAATAATAATTTACCTCAGTTTTTATTCTAATAGCTGGAATGTGTCCACTATGCAACATTGGTGGAGGTGGTGGTGGGGGCGGACCACCTTGAATTGTACCTCCTGTAAACAAATAACATCAATTTATGTACCGCTTAATTAAACATTTTCTAAACAAAGCCTAATAAACGTCGTTCACACGACGAAAGAGCCATATTGTGTACAATGGATATATTTAATAAACTTGATTTATTATAATTACCAGAATATGGCAGTGGTGGAGGTGCTGGTGGGGGTGGTGCGGACATATCTCCAGCAGCTAAGTCTTTCGCTCCTATTTGATGCCTAAATAATATAACAACAAATAGTAATACTTATTTATTGATATAATAAATACATTTCATGTAAAATGCAATTTGATGAGCTTACGCATATAGTGAGCAGGAAATAAATCTAATAATATTTAAATAGGTAAATTATAATATCTACATGGAAAGTTTTTCATGATCATATCTTACATATAATTACGGCAAACTACATAATAATAGTAACTATTATACCTATATATTATTAAATATGGGTAGGTACACATTTTAAAGTCTGGAGCGAATACAGATCATAATCTACAAATTGATGTTTTTTAAGTGAGTTTATTATTTACTATACATACGATGTCTATATGTTATATTGTGTATCGAGTGGTTTAATAATAGCATGCGAGTATATTATATATTATGCACTCGTGTTTAAAATTGTCATTGTGGGGGACAAGCTACCATATTTGGACCGAAATCAGCAATATTATATTTACGCTACTCAAGAGCCGTTCGACCGTCTGCTACTATATACATTATACACGAGTAATCTGTATAGTATCTGGGCATGTTGTATATAGGTACGTGTAACGTTTTGCAGGGTCAGCCTTGCCAGTATGCCCTTGAACAGGCGCCGCTGTTTAGTTTTTTACTCTTCAAACAGAAAACACATAATATGTATTTTACAACCTTGCTTATTCTCACGTTAAATTTTTTAGCTGGTTTATCTTCTGTATTTACGATTATTGTGCGTCGTTAAGGTCAACGGTAATTTGATTAGATTATTATACGTCTATGCTTTACATAATATATAACATTATGACTATTGCTCCGGAAAACGGAAACTGCACCGACGTACGCGGAAATATGAGATTTAAATTATGTTCACCAAACGACAATAAAAAGAATTGATCGTGCTAAACTAAACTCTATAGAATAATAAGCCAATAATAAAATATAATATATTATTTTATAAATTATAAACGAAAACGATACTTGCAAGACATACATGATTGTGTACTAGTGTACTTATTCTATTTCTATACCTATTAACTTGAGAGCCTGTAGATGTCTCAAACTATATATCTTCATTACATATGTTTTATCTCCTTATAATACTACACAATTCTTTATCATGAAATATTAACATTTACATATCTAATAGTCAATAGATCTGATATTAGACAATTATTATTTAAAATAAAATATAAATTCAAAAATTGTATACCTATCAGATTTATATCATAATTCAAGCCTAATTAGGAATTTTGGAATATTTATAATACTCGAGTAGTCAAGTTCAAAAACCTTTATATAAACAAAACAAATCGTTGGTAAAACATTTTGAGAATATTGGGAAGTAATGTGGCATTAAGATCAAAAAGACTTTTATAATAAATATGTGATATGTGAAATATTTATAAGATATATAATAGGTATATAATTATTATAAATTAAACCCCATTATTTATATACCTACACAATATATATATATTCGTAATCGTAACTCGTAATTAATTGTAATTTTACGATTAGCGATTACTATACAGGTACACCCACACAATCAACTCTAAATAAGTACCTATAAAATGTTTGATATTTAATGGAAGAGGTATATCGTTCACTCCCATCACTTAACTTAATTTCAATTTAAGGCAAAGAAATTCAATTAGAAAATTGACTGTCACGATGGCTTTCATTATAATATTATATAGCATCAGTGGCGTATGCGGGGGGCTAATTGSGAGAAGACCCCAACCCATTTCCCGTATTATTAATACTTTGAAAAAAAATATTTATCAAGTTTTAACTGTCGACTACTAAAAAGCAAGACGTAATTATATATATAGGTACCTAAGTATAGGTTGAATTCATTTATTTATACTTTCCCGATTATTTTGAAAAGTACTAAACATTTTCAATTTTACCTACCCAAAAGTACCAACTAGGTCCAATTTGCTTCAAAAACCTCCATCGAAGTTTATGATTAGAGTATATTTTCTACAAGAAAAGTTGAGAAATTTAAGTTATATAAAAATTTTAAAGCACCTCCCTTAAACATATACAATTATTAGACTGAACAAAATAATAATGTAATAAATTTTCAAGATCCCCTCCTTCCCATTGAAAAATTTTGAGAGCTCTATAGTATAGCATAATTATAGATTTTTATTTTTTTAACAAATACTTTAATACAAGTATAAAAATAATTAAATATTTTCATTATGTATATCAAATAATTTCTTTTCAATGGGTGTTGAAAAAGTAACATCCGGCTATACATTTCAAGTTTTCTCGATATTTTTGTAAATAATATTATATTGATTAATCATACATGATATACATATATACATCATTAAGATTATTTATATGAATAAAATATATTATATACTATTCTGTTATACAACAGTCAAAAATAGTATTATATTATTATCAAAAAAATCTAAAAGAAAATCCACTTTCTTAATAATATGATCTCATACTACATCTTTCACTATCCTTGATAAATTAAAAACAAAAACTTATGATAGCTTGTGCGCCAAACAATATTGTGACTCATATGTACATTGAATGTTGTGTAGTTATAATATGTCTTATTAGTGAATCAAGATTCAAGATTAAAAATTGTTTACGAACATCTCGATCTCAAATTAAAATAATTAAATCTAAAAATGTGATATCAGAAATCGTGCTACATAAAATGATATAAGTACTGGCATTATAAAATATTCCTGATGCCTATTCAAAACAATTTAAAAAATATTATACTTTTTTAATCGATATTAATAATGAAATATTGTACATGTACTTTATAATGACATAATCTACTCGTGATGCATGATATAGTAATAATAGCAATATTTAAATTTACATTTAAGAACCAATTGTATAAATATAAATGTAGATATCTATTAGGTAAATTTACATTTCACCAATATTACATTATTTCAGATAGTAATTGATTTATGTTAAAATTAAAATGATATTTCAATATAGACTCTATTGAACAATAATCCTAGAGACTCTGCAGTTTACTGTATTATGAAATACAATTTTAAATTGTATTTAGAAACGTTATTCTTAACGTCGGATATCGATTTCAAAATTATAAACATGATAGGTACTTCCATTTAAAATATAACTATAGTTTTCGAAACCAAAGCAAATATTTTTAATCCGAACAAAGAAAAATTTATATCAGAAAACCTATCTAAAAAATAAGATTCATTAATCTATGTATCCACATTATAATATTATATAACTTATTAATTAAATACACGTGATCTGTTGATCGAAGAGAAGTATATGATGATGTCATCATATTGAGATCTTAAATAGAATAACAAATAAATAATACAAAACTTGGCTACGGATCATATTATCTGAGTTGCTGCAGTATATGGTATGAACAAAATTATCAAATAAAACTCAGAAAATGAAAATAAAGCGCCAAGAGAAAAATATTTCCTATGCCTACAAATATAATAATTTCTAAAATGGGTAAAGAAAACCTATAGAGAAAATTATAGCAAATTGCGTATTAATTATCCATGTATAGATAAACGGATTTTTTTTTTCATAATTTATATTAATATTTATATGTATTGACATCCAGTTGCAGGCACTTGCTCAGACTTACAAAATACTGGAGAGCTGTCGATCGATCCCTTGATCTTGAGTCACTTGGCGTTCAGGCAATGCGTCCAATATAGCATTGGCTTTATCGTTATAATTCCCCAAAACGTTTCTGTACATGTTGTACACGAGTTTTCGCACTCTGGGATCAGTGCGGTCTAATTTTGACGCTTCGACGGCTGCTGTGGTCGTCATGATTGAGGAAATCGAGAGAAAATTATATGAAATAAATAAGTACGGTGACGAATAAATTAAAACGAAGAACGGGGTCCACCGATGATAAAAATATAATATAATATAGATTAAACAACCATAAATTGTACGCGTTTGTGACAACGGTGACGATATTTAATTTTATAAAAACAAATACAAAATGTTAGGTAATAAATAATAATAATAATAGACATGTGCACTCTGAGGCGACGCGACGCTGAATGCGAGTTAGATGCAACGACGACTGTCGTCTGCAATTTGTCCGCTCTCCAGAATATAATAACGAACCGGTCACTCGGATAGGTATTCTAATTCTACACTATACAAGTATATGAGTGATAGTGTTTTTTTTTTTTTTTATTGACGCACTAAACGCGATTACGCACAAATATTATGTTATGGGACAAATTTCATTTCATTTCGTATTAACACGTCATGTGTGCGTGCATGCGTGCTTCCAAACAGTAGAAATCAGTTACTTATATGACTTTACATTTTCTATATTAAAGGAGATTTTTTAAGTACGTCAATTTGAAACACAAACAATTAAGTGGTAATAATAATAATAATAATAATAACAATAATAGGTAATACTTATACATGGAGTCATGGACTACAGAGATTATTACAACTAGGAATGTCCCATATATAGGTTCTGCTTAGTGTTAGTTGTTTCAATTCATAGTTAGGAAATATTTAAACTATTTTGACAATTGTTACTACGAATAATTGCATAATATTTATTCATTAATTGCAGCATATTTGTTCGTCGTTGTCCTATATACAATATATTTAAATATATTATATATTCTACATCTATAGTAACAATGCACTACGGCACCGAGAACGACATACCTATATTATATATTACCTATAAGTTTAGAATATAAATATTAACTTCCTTGTTATTATTATTACTTAAGCTTTAAAAATAACCCAATAACCAGAAAAATACTTTTTCATCAAAATAAATGAATCGATAAAAAAAATGCTAGAACAGATTACAATCAAATATCAAAATTAAATTGATATAAATTATATAACTATTATTATTTTACTAATATTGAAAATATTGTACATGATGTACATACCTAATTATGAAATAACTTTAATTAAGTTAGTTTAAAACTTTACTATACTATCTACAGTTTCTAGTGTTAATTTTTTATATAATATATAAAC